TTAAAGAAGTTAATGAAAAAAATATAACATATTTTATTAATTTAAAAAATCCATTTTTGCATAATAAATTTTCAAATGCCACTCTACATTTTCATTATGATTAAACAACAATTCACGAAGCATTTTTTGCGCAGCCAATTTAAAATTAATTAAACTCTTACTTATACTGGATCCACAAAATTAATCAAAACACTCACTGCACAATTACACATTTTTTCGGTTTTAATTTAACAAAATTTAATTTGAATGATTATATGAAAAACGCTTTAAAAAGATTTTTGCATTAGCAAAATGGTAATGGTAAAAAATACCTAAAATACCTTAAAAAATTATTTTATTTTGTAAAATCCTTTTTTTAAAGTCAAAAATGTCACCCTCATATCCGCAAACCTAATAACAAAAAGGTTATATGCTAAAGAAGTATCGCTAGTAGTGCCACCACTCGGTTGTTATCATCGTAACAAAAGTATAACTTTTAATAATCAGCTATCAAACGCTTATGTTACAAACGAGTGTTTTTGAGAATAAAGCCGGAAAATATTAAAAAATATCGAAAAAAAACCGTGGCTCGATTTGTTGTGTTGTTGGGTGTATTTCGAGAGGAAATCCTGGGGTTTTACCGGTTTTCCAATAAACAGTGTTAATCTGAATGAAGAAATAAATTGCATACAGTCTCTGCAAATATAAATTGTACACATTAGATACAACAAATACACATTTTAGTAGTTATTAACGTGAAAAGTGTAAACATTTCAATTCAGTAAAAATCGTCAAACAAATAAATCGTCTATATATATTTAGCATTACGAACAATGTATCGTATTATTTGGCTAATAACTGCGATTACACGCTTATCTATTCGAGACAGGTATGTAGGTAAACAAATCATAAAATAAAAAGTTTTAGGTAAAAAATATAAGAAAAGCTATAAAGATTGCGAAAGGAATTTTTAGGATAGTTTTTTATTATTTTGGGTTCAAGTAATTTGGTTTAACTATGGGCAAGGAAAGTTGTTTTTTATCTAATGGATAATTAAAAAAAATATCATACAGAATTGGGTTTCCAAATAAGGTATCTACTCATTTATCTACTCATTAACAATGTTAAAATTGAATGGTTTTTAATTTAAAAAGTATTTAATAAGACTTTATATTAGGAAAGGTTAATCATAGGCGTAATATGAAAAGAAATATTCATAATTTGGTATGTTTAAGTTAGTTTAAACTCAATTTTAAATTCCTTGTGATAACAATGTCTCATCTTGGGGCGCATTATACATTATAATACAATAACTTCTTACTCCCTCGTGAATCAAAATTCGGCTTTTGCGGCCGCAACTTGTTAAACGAGCCATCTCGCCATAACAATTGCCTTAACCAAGGCAAATGTTATTCCGCATTTCCCTAATCCTATTGCTAGGTATCGACGTGCAGTCCCCTTCTGTGTTTTAATTCTTGGAGTTTTCCACGGTTGGTTAATATTAATGAGACCGAGGGGGGAAGTCGTATTAGGGATACCTAAGGGGGTAAGAATAAGACAGGATTAGAGGTATAGTAGACATTCGAACCGCAAATTGAAATGTTATATCAGGCTATTGAGGGATTACGTACGTGAAGGTTGCATGTTGCAAGTGTTGACCACAATAATGATGTAACATTAAGTGAATTGAAAAATAATACATGAAAATCGAGAAGTTATTGAGAATTATAGATATAAAATTTAAAATATTAGGAACGAAAAAAATAAAAAAAAACAAATAAAAATTTTATTTTTCTTTGATTTTAAAAATATTTACAATTTTATTATAATTCGTTATTCAAAATTAAAAAGTTTAGAAATTTAGAAGAAGTGATAAATAATAAAAATTAAATAATAATAATGATAATTTAAAAATTTTGAGAATAATAATAATATTTTATTAATCCACATTTATCACATTTACAGGACATAGGACAAGTCAGACATTCTTACTTTGCCAAAACAAAACAAAAAGTATATATGGGTGAATCTCAAGGTGGTGTTACCCCGTGATATTTAATAAAACTAAATATGGCATATATTCTTTTGTATTTTATTTGAAATTATTTGAAAGTGTTATTTTTGATCGCTGATATCTTTGAAACGGTTGATCTGAAGAACTTTGACCTTCAGCTTGCGTGTTGCGAAAACAAACCATTCCAAAGTTATAAGAATTCAAAATTAAAAAAATAAAAATTCCCGTGTTATTGAAATGGAAAAACAACAAATGAATTGAGGCAAACCTTAATATTAATATCTAGGGCTAAAATTTTTGTTTTTTAATGTACTATTAATTTTTCAACACCATTGGAAAAAAAATAATTGCTTTTTTTAAACACCCTAATATACATATACATTAAAATTATCAATTTAACTATAGACAATACAAGTAAAACCCAACTAGATCCTATTTAATTAATTAAGCAGTACACAGTAAAAAAATATTTGTTAATTTTAACCAAATATTAACCAGATTTTATGTTAATCCAGGTCCACATAACTCTTTATATTATAAAAACAACTTTAATCTGTGAACTAATTAAATAAGTCGTTTGTTATTATAACCAACATTTTGTAGATTTAATAACAAAATACTTATCAATAATTCAACCATAATTCTTTTAATTTTCAAAAAGTAACATAAGTATTTTGAAAATTGGAAACTTAAATAAAAAAAAAATTGGTAGGAAATGTTGCTTTATTAATCAATTTCCTAAACAAAAAAAATTAACACATACCTACATAAATGAACACAAAAATAACACAACATCCTAAAATCATCAAATTATAAAGAAATTTGGTACAATATAATTATTAGTACTACTACAACACTGATGTATTTCGTAACTTTAACCCACTACACTTAAGTTTGACAACCAGTGATGGCATCTTTTTTCGGGTACTTCCCACTTATATATATTATAAACATTTAGTTGTTACGAACACGTTACGAATTAGAATAAAGTAAGCAGAAACATAAGTTGCAGACGCTGAATTCAGTTGAACTTGTTGATGCGTATTCTCAGTAGGAAATGTTTTGATTGACCGCCTGAAATCACGTGTACTTTTTCAACGAAATAATTTGTTAAACATTAACAAAATAATCTGTAGCCTTTGAAATTAACAAACTGCTTATAAAATTGCATATTACTAGGGGTGTGCGAATATCGTTCGAAATTCGAATCGAATTTAAATTTTCGAATTCTACGAATAATTCGAAAAAAATCGAATAATCCGAAAAATTTCGAAAAGTTTCGAATAATTCGAAAAATTTCAAAAATTTCGAATAACTCGAAAATTTTCAAATAATTCGCGAAATAATGAAATATCTCTGGATTTTCAATTGCTTGCATTTAAATTCCTTTAAATCGTGTATCGAAATATTCTACTTACGAATAATATACTTTTGGTTAAAAAATCAATTACCCAGAGAAAAAAAAATCTATAAGAAAAAGGTTACTCATGTAATGTTTCAGTATTGTATTTATTATTTTTGGTCAAAAATTTGTAGCAAATTTTCAAATCTTGTATTTTTCATAATACTGTATTTAATAATTTACGATATAATTTCTGTTATTTCATTCTCTTTCAAAAAAAAACTATACTTATTGTTCTATTTGTGTAACTATATTTCATGGTTTAAATAAAATGTATATTGACTGTTAAATTCATATTTGAATATTGAACATAAGAAACCCTGAATTCAAAATACTCGAAAATTCGGTAATAATATATTCGAATTATTCGAAAAAATTTCGAATTATTCGAAAAAAAAATCGAATTATTCGAAAAAAAAATCAAATTATTCGAAAAAAAATCAAATTATTCGAAATTTTTCGAATTATTCGAGAAGATTCGAATAATTTGAATTTTCGAATTATTCGATTCGAGTTCCGAATCAGAACGAATAATTCGTAAGTTCGAATAATTCGTAAGTTCGAATTATTTGCACACCCCTACATATTACCTTTACAAAACTTTCGGTAAAATATTTGCCTTTATAAAATAATTTACTACATTGTTTTAAACTTTTACAAAATAATATTAACAAATCTGATTTTTATAACAGTGTAAATAGACTCGCTACTAATAATCTTCTACACTCAGAGAAATATCAAGTTAAGAAAAGCATATGAAATTAAATATATTAATTTAAATAATCGGGTAAATTTGATTCAAATAGAAAAATTTTTAGTTTTACATTCATTTACCAACAGTTTTACAATGTTTTGAAACACTTTTAAAGTGTACCCTCTTTAAAATATATATACAAAAAGAAATCCATTTATTTCATTGCCTTTCTCAAAGTTGTTTCAAAAAGATATGTATTATACAATTGTTATGCACCTATTAATTTAATGGGAAACACCAATGACGCCAAAACATATTTGAATCCCTAATAATTCAAAGGGATTCAAATATGTTTTGGCGTCATTGGTGTTTCTCATTAAATTAAAAGGTGTATAACAATTGTATAATACATATATTTTTAAAATAACGTTGAGAAAGGCAATGAAATAAATAGATTTCTTTTTGTATATATATTTTAAAAAGAGTACACTTTAAAAGTGTTTAAAAACATTTTAAAACTGTTGGTAAATGAATATAAAACTACATTTTTTTCTATTTGAATTAAATTTACCCGATTATTTAAATTAATATCATTTCATATGCTTTTCATGACATGATATTTCTCTGAGTGTAATGCGACATTGAAAAATTATTAAAAAAAAATTCTCGTATGCACTTGTAAATTTTTGTTAACTTTCACCGCAATAATACGATAATGTTGACTGTGTCCAACCAAAATTTTCAATCTGTCATTTTCGTCTAGAAGATCCGGCAACACTGGATGACGAAGACGTGATTATCTAGGGATATTTGTTTTGATTTATTTGGTGACCATCATAATTTCGTTTTCGAAGTAAATTATTGTTATTTGTTATAAGTAATTTTTTTACAATATTATTTTTTTTTTACAGAAAAGACATCGTGAAAAATGTTTTACATACGAGGACAAATTCCTCGGAGAAAATAAATACGACTATGAAGGATTTCCAACAAAAACTTAAACTTTTAACTCTTCTGATTCTTCCCATTCTAGAGACTGGACACACCTTTGACCCCTGTAAGTATATTTCTTTACTATTAAATTTTACCAAATTTTAAACAAAACTGCATGGAAAAATGTTTATGAAACTTTAATAGACTTAAATGCTTACATATACTGAACTTTAGTTTTATTTTAAGAGTTCGAGTTGAAAACGTATTTAATCTACTTTGAGATAAAACTTTTCAGTATGTATATAACAGAAGTTTCATACTTATTTCGAGAGTTAAATATCCTAAGTTGGAACATTCTCAGGAAATATATGTTTACTTCAAGTTTAAATATGGAATTATTCTAGGATTTTTGCCTTTTTGTCAATTTTTGTGCTGTACTTTTAATACAGGTGCACCTAGGTAGTACACAGAAAAAAATTAATGGTTAATTTAACTATATTAATTTAGTTGACCCATATGTATTAAAATCAACTGTGGGAAGGTTAATATAAACAAAGATTAGTTTGACGGTACTAAACCAGATAGTTATTTAATTTTTAAATTGGTTAAATTAACCCAGAAAACTTTAGTGAAACCAATCCGCTGTATACATATATGGTTCAGTATACATATATGGTTCAGTTTACTAAATATGTTTTTTGTAAAATAAGAGTTACTTCAACCTTAAGCACTTTGTTAAAACGATTAAAACAATTTGCCGTGCATTCATGGTTGCATAGTATGTACCGATCGCGGCAAAGGCGGTGTGGATCACGTGATGTTTTTAAATCTCGCTTCTGTTGACTTACATGAAGAGTATATAAGCTAAGTCCTTTGCTTTGATGTGAGAAGTTGTTCAATACTAAAGAGACCTTAAATAGGTGGAAACAGCCGTCAATACTTGAAGTATTTTATTAAGTTGGTGGAACGCACTAAAAACATTATCTGTAGCGAGGTGAAGGTTCAATTTTATGGAATAATACCACTGGTATTATACTATAGTAATGCGTCAAGGAACTTCCTGTTTCTTGAAAAATATAAGAAAATGGCTTAAAAAAAATATGTCTACTCCATATATCAATGGTTATTTGACAAAACATCGTAAGCGACAAAACCTAAATTTTACAGGAGAGAATTTTTTTGTGTGGGAGCTTTATTTTTAAAGTTATTTATCTGAAAACTGGTGAGGCATTATTTTATTAATGTAGAATTCAAATATTTAAGTAAGATCGAATCCAATCTAAACTTTTCATTAAATTTTGTGGCATACGATATTTTATAAGAACATCTTTAGGAAAATATAAAATTAGTCTTGTCGCTTAAGTTACATTTACGTTACTTCGTGGGATATAGATTTGATGATTACTTTTGTCAAAACATCGCTAGTGTCATTTATTTTTTTACTTTTATTATTAAATAAAAAAAAATACAAAAAAATTAATTTATAAAATATCACCAACGATATTTTGCCAAACAATGTTTGAAAATAAAATTCTAGCTTTCTTTGAAAAAAACGAACGATTTTTATTCACAAACCAGTATCTAACCCATGGAGCCTACACAAGGAGCCCGAACTTAATAGGGGAAATTGTCAAAACCTGCCCTCTACAAATTCTTTTTTTCACCACCAGCGGCGCTGATTGGCGATACAAATTAAAAAATTGTTTCAGAATAAACGAAACACCAGCGCCCTCTTATCTTAGGAAGATTCTTGTTTACATGATGTTCGGACTCCTTGTGTAGGCTCCATGATCTAACCCATGGTACTATGATCTAACCGTTATAAATTTGAGTCAAATTATTTGACGCTATAACAACATACTATTACTACAAAAAAACACTTTTAACGAACCACACTACGTAAAAACAATTATAATTAGGATAACTATTAATAATGCAATGAAAAAAAAGGAATTATAAGCTTTAGATCAAATAAAATATTGTTTTAAAACTTGGTAGCAATCACCACGATGCAGGTATACTCACGAATAATCTGTTTATAGCGGGAATAACGCCTTGATAGATCAAGGCGGGAGCACAATATTATCGTAAGCGACACAATGTTAAATCGCAAACGCCATGTCTCGGAGTTGCTTACGATTATTTGTCGGGAACATATAGGCGCTTACGTTATAAATCGGTAACAAATTAAAAAGAAGAGGCGCTTACAATAATAAAAATATTCAAACTGACCATTATTAGATTCCAAAATTGGGATATCTATTATGTTAACATGTGCAGCTCATCGTAACTGACACTTTGATAAAATAAAAAGTAATTCAACAAAATTGTCGCTTACGATGTTTTGTCAAATAACCATCGATATTTCAAGATATTATTATTGTTAGGTATATAAATGCGCCAAACGCTATGGGTAAGTTGTACCAAGTCGTTAACCTAGTTAGGGTAACAAATTATATTGAGTCAATTCAACCAAATGTATTTAGTACATTTGACTGGTAGGTAAAAGTCACTTTAACTATATAAATGTTTGTTTTAACCAAATATATAGTTGTAAAATATAACTTAATGCGGTTGTGTGTAGCAACTATAAATGTCATTATAGGCAACTAATTTTTAAAACCTGATTATTTAATGAAAACCACGGGAATATCCTTGTTGACCTCGCGTTATTTTATAAACCGCCTGGACGTTGATGGATCGGGTTATGAGGTTGCAGCAATGCATAGTGTATGCAAATCGTAAATTGATAATGTTAATCATAGGTACCTGTACATATTCGGCCGACCCCGAACTGTTTGTTCATGGAAAATTATACAAGCGGCGAAAACGACCTGTTTCAATCCACGTTAGCTCATAATGATTTAGCTGCAGATTAGGCGTATTATATTCCCAACTAAATAATAGAGCTCGGTTGGGCTATAATGGAAATACCATATTATTATGTGGTTGTTAAGTTTTTTATTAGTTTTTTTTTAATATAGAGTATATATTTAAAATAAGATTTTCTATAATAAAGGGTTTACTAATATACAGGTCTGACTATGAAAACATTGCAAATGGTTTTATTTATACACTGACCAGCAAAAGTATGGAACAAATTTATTCATTTCTTCTAAATTTTGTGCACTCAGAATTTTTGTTTATAAATATAACAAAAAAAGTAGTTTGTCTTAATTAAGTAAAGATCCCTTTTCGTTTAAAATAAAACTTTTTTTACAATATTAATAAAATTTATGTAAATTTAACAACAAATTAATTGTTAATTCAATAAACTATTTTCATTGAAAAAATTGGTCACATTTTCAACTCACTGTTGGGTGTTGGATAGTTTTTTTTTAATTATTGCATTAAGGCATTAAAACAAATTATTATATAATGTACAAAATAAAAAAAATTGAACTCACTTTTTAAACTATGCTTCGTTTATAGAATAGACAAATATTTTTTTTGAAAACGTCGACATTTTTATTTTGCTAGATTTTACCATACTTCACTCGCATAAGTGAAATCAATAAGATTATAACACAGACTGTGGATTACCAAGGAGAGAGCTGGCCCTTTCCCCCTCCTTTTAAGGGAAATAACAAAATTTTGTTATCATTGCAAAACAATAAAATATTGTTGTTATTGTTCTTAACGTAAGCTATTGACAAAGGTGGTAATTATAAAAAAGACAAATATGCCATAATAAAATGAACAAATTTTACTATAGCAACTACGCAATATTCTATGTAAGCGCAATTCAAACACAACTATAGATTTAACAAAAACATTTTAAGTTCGATAAAGATTTAATATAAACATTAGACTGGGCTAAAAAAATCATCTATTTTTTTTTAAGTAGATACCTATATCGAAAATATGGTTTGGGGTGAAAAAAAAAATATTGTGAAAGTTTGAGTCCATAATATTAATATTAAGAGGTCTATCATCGCAATTTTATTTTTTTTCCTCAGCAAGTTTTAGGCTCAGAACTCCCAAACCATTGAGTTTAACAAAATTTACTTGAAAATATTTTTTTAAGAAAATTAAATGATCGTAAGTAATATCATAAGGGCATTTAATTTTTCCGAAAAGAATCGAAAAAACACGTTACTAAGTGATATTTTAACAAAAAGCATGAGTGCTGGTGGCAACAAAAATCCGAGTCGAAGAGGAGGATTTTTGCACCTGCACGAATGCTTTTTGTTAAAAAATATTACTTAGCATTGTGTTTTTTCGATTTTTTTCACAGGAAAAATTAGATGCCCGAATGGTATTTGACAAGACTATTTCATGAGTAACAGTTAACAATTAAAATATAAATTGCAATTTTTGGTGACAACAGCTGTCAAGTTTTGCCGCGGGTAAACTCGAATAAACTGCTGACAGGTGCTGTCACACAGTTTTTTCACCTAGAAACCATTTGTAATTCAAAATTGCGCGTTTGTGATTGGTGGAAATTAAGACGAGGGAAATAGTCTACAAAAAAGGTTAAAGTGAAATTTAACCTTGAATAACTTTTGATGTAGTGAATTTAGCCAAAAATGATAAAAGCCTTTTTTTGTAGAGCATTTGATTTTCCATAAGAATATTTATCGTTTTTTTTCAGGGTACTGATTTTTACTTGAATTACAAAATTCCAAAGTTAAAAGATCAAATTGTAAAACTATACCAATTTTTAAGGCATGATTGTAAGAAAACGGTTCATCTGACCAATTTATTATTATAATTTAACCTTTTTTGTAGAGCATTCAATTTTCTTCAAAAAATATTCTTAAATTAATTTTGTTAAACTCAATGATTTGGGAGTTCTGAGACAAAAACTCGCTCAGGAAAAAAAAATCTAAAATTGCGATGATAGACCTCCATTATAATATTAATATTATGGACTCAAACTTTCACCATAATTATCACCCAAAACAATATTTTCGATATACTTTCCAAAAAAAAAAAAAATGTCGATTTTTTTGGCCCAGTCTAATAAACATAAAGTATTTCTTATTGCCATGACAAAATGATAACAACTATTACTTTATTGGATGAACATTTTTTTCATAAAAGCTCAACATTGCTGCTTCATGAAATGAAAATTTTATTAACAGTAAAAAAAGTTTATTCTGTAAATAAAAATAATCTCATTATAATGTATACTTTGACAAATCATTATAATGTATACTTTGACAAATCGTAGGTTTTTGTCCCAATAAGACACTGAAAATTTAATAAAAAAGGAACCTTAGGTGGTACTTTTCTTATAGCCATTACAATTTTAAATTTAAGTTAAATAATATTATTTTATTCATCGCTTACAAAATTAGTTTCATTATCAGTGCATTTACATTTGAGTGTGGTCTGTTGATGTAGACCTTTGATTTAGCTGTAGATTGGAACCTCCATTCTTATTGTGAAACATTTCTGCTAATGTGGAAAGAAGAGAGTTTTGCAAAAATTCCAAATTCGTTTGTCCTGTCATATTCTCTTCAAAGAAGAAAGTATCCAGATCCGATTTTCCACTAATTCTGTCCAGACATAACCTTTTTACCCGTATTGTGAATTTTCATCTACTACCCAGTGAGGATTTTCTCTGCTCCAGTACCTACAATTTTGACAGTTGACTGTTGGAATATCTTTGACATGTCCAGTCTCTCTGAATTAACGTTTAATTTTACTAACCGTAGCACGAGTAATAGGTCAACCTCAAGGTAGATTTAACTGCTAATTCCAAGTACTGACTTCAAAGAAGATAAATGGCGAGACGTAGGGTTAAGCTGCTTTGGCATTTGAAAAGAACGCACGACACTGGTTCTCTGGTGTTTTTAATAAGACTGATATTTATTATAAATACTACACCAAAAAGACAGCAAAAACTAAACCTTAATTTTTTTATTTTTTTTAGCACAATGTATAGCACCACTCGGTATGGAAAATGGCGCCATCAAAGACACAGACATAACTGCAAGCTCTTCATTCGACAGTGGAAATGTCGGACCACATCATGGACGGTAAGGCAGATATATTTTTATAACGAATAATTATTATTAATTATAAAAAACCATAATTTTAAGACTTTTTTACTTTTTATTATACACTCACACTGGCACTCACAGGCAAAATAATCGATCCACACAAATTTTCGATGAATTTCAATCGCAAATAACTTTTTTATTTCATGTCGGATTTAAACGAATATTAAAGAATATTGTAGATAAATTAATGGACAATCGCTCACATTTTAAAAAAGTACTAAAAAATAGACGAACGTTTATAATATACAGGTTTAAACAAAAATATGTTTTTTACCATAAGTTTAAGACACTCTGTAGAGTTTTATTTATCAAGTCACATCTGTTCTTAACAGTTTTGTTTTTGGTTCACCTCGATATATTTATTTTTGTGGAAAATATGGATTTTTAAAAAAACATTGCAATTTCCAATATTTTTCTGTATGAAGAACTAAGTTTGCTATGGTCCATTAATAGGCTAGAATGAGTGACACTTTTGTTGAATCATCCCATACTTGGACATGTCATACACGGCTTTCAAACGCTATCAAATTGTTTTTTGTAAATTAATGTTTAAATTTTGAGGTGTCTTCTAACTTTAAAAAATAGATGTCTCCGACTGAGGTTGCCAGAGCCAATAATTTAATCCAGGATGGATGGTCACAGTATTACGTAAGTGTTTTAAACGTCACAAGAAGTAAAGTACAAAGGGCAACATCAGTCGGAGACATTTTTAAAAGTAAGAAGACACCTCAAAATTAACACATTAATTTACAAAACACAATTTAATAGCGTTTGATATACGGTTTTGCCACTCTACAGAGTGTCTTAAACTTATTTGGATTTTCGGAATCACTTCAGGATTTCTTTGCCTCCTATTTAAGTAATAGATACCAGTATGTTTCCTACAATGGTTTTAAGAGTTTAAAGTTTTTATCAACCTCGGGTGTACCACAAGGGTCCAATCTAGGTCCTCTTCTTTTCACAATCTTTATTAATGATATAGCTGATGACATTGTTTGTGAAAAGCTTTTATTTGCTGATGACTTCAAAATCTTTCAAGAAATACGCAGTGCTGATGACTGTAAGATTCTTCAAAAAGAATTATGCAAGATTGAAGACTGGTCTAAAAAAAATCAGCTGGGTCTCAATGCAAATAAGTGTAAAGTAATTACATACACTAAAAAAAAGAGTAAAACGAACTTTGATTACACCTTAAACCAAAATTTGCTTTCCCGTGAAACTGCCATTAAAGACCTGGGAGTCTTATTTGACAACGAATTTAACTTTCTCGACCACATTAATAGCATAACATCATCTGCTAACAGAACTCTAGGCTTCATAATTAGAAACACCAAAAACTTTAAACGTGAAATGGCGTTTAAAACTTTATTTTATTCATTTGTACGATCTGGAGTACGGTTTTCTAATTTGGAGTCCTATATACGCTACTCATATAAATAGTTTGGAGAAAATACAACGTAAGTTTTTAAAATTCTTGTCTTTTAAACAAAACCATGTGTATCCATCTCAAGGTTATGATCACTTGGCTCTTTTGAACGAATTTGGGTTCAGTTCCCTGCAACTGAGAACTATATTAAGTGTTAAATTTTTGTATAATTTGGTACATAACAAAATAGACGCCCCTTTATTATTAAATCAAATAATTTTTTTAACACCACGTAACACTCGAACCAACCTCACATTTTATTGCCCAAACGCTAAATCAAATGTTATGCTTAAGTCACCGATTTATTTTATGTGCAATAATTTTAATAAATATTGCAATAATTGTGATATAAACTTTCAAAATATTGGAGTAATAAATCACTTAAGTACACATTTTTTACGTGATTTTATTATATTTTTTGTATAATATTATTTTATAGATATTAGGAATTTTTATTATTATTTTATGTAATTGTTCTGTAATTGGATGTTATATCTGTTGAACAATAAACGTTATTATTATTATTATTATTATTATTATGGTAAAAAACATCTTTTTGTTTAAACCTGTATATTATAAACGTACGTGTATTTTTTAGTAATTTTTAAAATGTGAGCGATTCTCCATTAATGTATCAACAATATTCTTTAATATTTGTTTAAATCCGAAATCAAATAAAAAAGTTCTTTGCGATTGAAATTCATCGAAAATTTGTGTGGATCGATTATTTTGCCTGTCAGTGTATTAGTCAATTTTTAAGTAAATTTTTTTTCTTTGGGGTAGGTGATTAAGTTAAAGGACTTTTAATTCCATTTTTAAAGTGGATTTAGCAGTAAGGAAAGCGAAGTGCAACTCTTGGAACTTTTTCACTTATCGAATAAAAACTACTCCGAACTCTAACTTTGTTTAAAAGCAGCAGAATTGCAAAAAACCGAAAACAAGTATAAACGAATTCAGAGATCTATCTAACAACATAATGTCGGTATGTAATTACATCTTTGTAGTTTGGTGAGGGAAACTTCATATTTTGCATGTTAACTACGAAACTATGAACTCCAAAGGTGAAGTTTAATGAAACAGCAATTGTTACCTCAAACATTCGGGGGGCGGAAAATTTCAAGAATTTCAATATGAATTATTTTCCGATTCAATCAATGAATGCATTTGCCAATCAAACGCACACACGGCTGCGGTTTTTGTTAATATGCGCGAATATTTCTGCTGTTGCATTTTGAGGATAGCGATTTTAGCAAGAATTTATTCAAACATTGCCAATACATTTGTGTATCGTTTAATTGCAATTATTTCGTCCTTATATTTTTTTTAAATCCATTTTCCATTTAACGCTGCAATTTGAATGTTTACGTAAACACGGTCTATTCTAATTTGCTTAAGGTTGACCTCTTGTTTTGTGAAGTATTCCGTTGGTCTCTGCTACTAGGTTACATGTAGGAGCTTTAAAAATTGCCAGGAGACGATAGAACATTGTTCTTAAAACTTTTAAAATGTTTTTAAGTACTAATTTTTTGACAGTCAGAAATTTAAATTAAAAAAAAATAATGGCAAGGGTGTCATAAAAATAAATGACATGGCCGTCATTTTCATTATGACCGAGACATGGCATTGTCATAAAAATTTACTTACATCCTTAGTTTACACAGTATACAAACTATTTTAACAAAACTTGGAAATATTGACTTTTGACTCTCTATTTCCAACGGCGAATTCACATTTTCACATTTACGTGTTAAAAGTGAAACACACAAAGTCGCGTGGTCGCCCTGTTTCTCTATCGATCTTTTTGAAAACGAAAGGCACAGTCGGCTTTTAAATCCTCATAACGGCGTCGCATATTTTCACGGCGAAAAAATCGTTATATTAGTTCTTGAAATTTGTTTTACGTATTTATCATTTTAAATTAAAATTGTGGGATTTTATTTCAACATGTTTGTAATTGAATTTAATTTGACTGAGTAGTAACCAATATCTACACAGAAAAATTTGTTGGATTTGGTTTAATAATTGTATGAATTTGTTCAACAAATTGGTGCTAAAAAGGTGACAGGAACAATTTGTGGTAAATTGTTGTATCAAACTTATTATATTAAAAACTTATATACCTAATTTATTTGACATTTGAACATATTTTAATCCAATCGGCTCATATAATTTGTGTAAGTAAATGAGTATTTTAGAGACTTTTTTAATATAGGTAATGTTTTGTGGTGAAATTGCACAAATTGTGGCACATAATAATAAAACAACATTGTTTAATAATTATTTATCCAATTTATTTAAAAATTTAATAATTTTTGAGATGCGAGGGTGGTAAAAAGAAAAATGAAACTAAATTATATGGAAAATAGATTAACTAAACTTAATATAAACATAAAATGAACATAACACAACATAAACTACAAACTGAAAAATAAAATTCGTATAGCTAATTCTAATAATTATTATTATATATTATAGTATAGAAATATATATAGTAATAGTACAAATGTCGATAGATTAAATATGTATTCAGCGACCAACACAAAAAAGTTGTAAGGATAGAATTAAGTTAATATAAACTGAAAATTTAAATTACAAACTAAAGTAAATAGTAAGCTGATCAATAATGTAGCACAGTAGGAACATAGAAACACTTTTTATCCTCATTTAATCACCAGGTCATAATTATTGATTTATCCCAGTCCCTGAACAATTTTGCAAGTACCTACCTACCTATTCGGAAAAATAATATTCAATAATTACTCATCAGAAATGTGGTACTAACATTACAATGATATATCATGTATCGTATACAGGGTGAGTTTTAAGTTGACACGTTCCTTTTAATAGCGTGTAGAAATTAGATAGACAAATAAATATTTTAAGTAACTTTTTTATCAAAACTCAAAATAAGAGAGTTATAGCCCTTCAAAATTTAATTAAATTTTGAGCCGGTCCTGGCTATTGTTAATAAAAAACATAACCATAAAAATAAAAATAACAAAATAAACAATGCAAAATGACATCTACACTGAAAGAAATTTGTTGCTAAAAGTAAATACAAATTTATACTAAAAATTTTATACTAGTGCTTTACACATTTATACTACTGTTTATTATGAATGTATGTTAAATTTTGTAATACATTTATTGTAAAGAAGATATGTTAGATCTAAATAAAAATAAACTTACCCTTACTATAAAATGTAAACTATAAGTGAATTACAGCAAAAAAATATTGCTAGAAACACATTTATATTGCTAGGGCAGCAATAGGCTGCTAACCAAACGAATATATTTGTTTTAGCAATGTATGTGCACGGCGGTCCTCAAGGGTGAATAGGTTGACCAAAAATGTAGCCAAAAACTATTTACTACATCTAATTGTACTCCACTAGGGCTCTCTAAAACCATTTTTAGGTAAATCGCAGCTGATCAAAAACTTGATTTTTTTTAGTTTTTAGAGAAAATCATGGAATTTTATTAGTTTTTTTTTGTTACATTTTTTGTTATATCAAAAATATTTGTAATTTTGGTTACACTCGAATAAAAA